AACGTCAGATAGCTGCCTTTTTGTGGCGGGGCGATCATGAGAAACACAACGTAATCAGTCGGGTAGCATGACACTCTATAATTCAGCCCAAAACTCAAGGAGGCTTGGGCATTCTTGATCCGTTGTTACAAACCAAAGCGTTGGCACTACAATGGCTTAAACGCCTTTTGTTCGACCCCGAAGTCCTCTGGAGAGGTCTTGCCTCGGAACAAATCTCTAGGCTGGCACCACAAACACCGACGGAGATCGACCCCATAACATGGCTGGAGAACAGGGCATGGCCCATCCCAGGAACCAGATCGCCACAAAGTGACCCCCGCCCCGACTCCCCCAGACAAGCAGTCAGGGTGGATCTACGACACGATCCCTTCTGGCCCACCCTCCTCAAAACATGGAGGAGTCTCCCCCTACCAGACAAAAAGGCACCAGAAAGATGGGAGGAGGTGGCACGCCAGCCCYTCTTTGGAAACAGGTGGGTAGTGGATTCGCAAGGCCGGATGCTTCTTTGCGCTGACTCCCCTTGGAAGAGCTGGGTCAAGCGAGGGGTAATAAGGATAAGGGACATATGGGACACTGATAGGATGAACTGGATTGGAACAGACCAGCTGCGGGAAAAACTGCGGTACTGCCATCGACCACACGATGCCCTGGGATTGGAAAGCCTTATTGTGCGAAGTCTGGCCCAAGACCCAGATGGACCAAACTGATGAATTTACTTGTAATATGTTTAGACTAGGACGTAGGGCGATACTCTGGGCACTGTGGAGACGACGCTGCACCTTTGAAATGGAGGGGACAAGACTGGAAGGACCGGAGTTCACGGAAAGTATTCAGCAGCAGATCCAGACAGAAATAATGGCAAAATGGAATGGAGTCAGAGCACAAATCCAACTCCTTGATAGATGCACAGATATCAAACTCAAAATCCAGAACTTCTGCTCAAGCTGGCTTGGGGGTGAAAACGGTGGGAGGATAGGCACGGTGGAATGGGCGGGAGAACATGAAGGGATAGGGGAGGATCAACATGGAAGGGAGATAGTTAGAGATTATCGACTGAATTTCAATGATTGGTCTACGGTGGATGCAGAGATCCCACTGAAACCCCCTGAAGAGTTCCCCGACTTCTTCCCCCCCCCCTCACACTGCCTGGTGGAAATGAAGTTGTATGGCATGGATGAGTAACATATTGTGGTTTTGCACAGCTCTGTCGCGAGAAGATCCAGGCGAGGGAGGAGGGGGAGAGACTAACAAATTGGGTTGTGGTACAGCACTGCCTCAAGCAGGTGGCAGCAAGGAAGGAAGGGGAGCAACTAGGTTCTTACAATAGATATCTGGCGCCCGCTTCAGGGCGAAGAGGTTTACTCTCCCTTCCCATTCTCCTGCTCAGTCAACGAAACAGTTCAGATTCTCTCCAAAAAAGGACTAGGTGGGGGAGGGGGAACTAACTAGAGAGCTACAGCATGTATCTGGCATTGCCTGCTCAGCCAATCCCCTGGACGCCAGGGTAATCAATGCTGGCAGGGCTCTCCCACGATGTTTCTAGATCAGACACATTGCAAACTTCATCTGTCTATGGGACGCTGGGCCCGCTTCCCAGCAGGTGATGCTCCCCACCAATAGATGGAGCCTCTCCCCAGGTGTTAGAGATGTCTGCTCCTATCAGCATCTCTAACACTGGCGGGGGAAATTCAATAACTTACCAAGAAGCAAAAAAGACAGAAAGTCCGGATGGGAGATTTCCTACGATCAAGAAAATAAATTCAAGATATCGTAACTGCCCATATCACATATTAATCACAAAACACGGAGAAAGAGAGGGCACATCATGAGTTTGCCAATAAGATCGGGGGCACCTGGGCAATTTGAAAGAAACTAGTATCAAAATCCTGCACGTAGCAAAAGCCCAAGGGAGCACGGCTACCAGGGCATCCCATGAAGCAGATTCTCACAAGGACCACTGCACATTGCTGCTACACTGCGACATTCCCATATGCATGTGGTCTCCCTGCGACTACAAAAATCCTTGTCTATCATCCTCTTCCTGCCAGCTGCATGCCTTTTCCAGGCACGGAGTCAACGACACTTTCTTTTTTTTTCTTTTTTTTGGAGAACCATACCAACTCTTGTATTGCTCAAAATCAAAGGAACTGGGGCCGGGAAAGCCCACAATACTCCCGAGGAAGAACTGGCGGGGGCCAATAGCCAGCTTAGGCTCCTGGAAACCGGGTCCAGTGTCTCTTTAAACGGAAAAACAGCTCCCCAAACGAAAAAAAAAAAGGGGTACAGCGAAGCTCCTAGTCAACGAAACTCACCAGCCGACCCTCTACCTTCAGATATGTTAAAGTAGACTCTCCATGGGCCGCTCTGAGTCTCGCCTATCCCTGCTGCTCCTCTGTCACAAGCCTGCCTGCCCCTCACAAAGGACCATAACCTCACAGAGTCACAGTCGGAGGTCGTCTGCAATCTCCTCCAATTGCAAACTTCGTTTTGCAACATGGCACTGGCAGCATTTACAACACATTGTAATCCATCTGTTTCAACTTCCAACACCCTGGCAATAACCCCCTATTTCTTTGCCTCGGCACCCCCTTCCTACATCTCCTTCTCCACCACCTACTTAGAGGTCATGCAGCTCATGCTCCCTTAAACCACCCGTACTTGGCCCATGCATCAGCCGCGGCCCGCGGGGCCAAGGGGCCAGAGCTTCACCCTTTCTCACATTCTGCCAGTGCCTGCCACACAACACTTCTCACCTGAGAAGGCTGCTGCTCCAACCGTGAAACAGCCCTAACCCAGGAAGGGTTGCCGAGGCGTCTGGTTACCATTGGGGTGTTTCCCGGCCACCGTAAGCTTTCAAATGGCCCCCCAGCAGGGTGACAGGGTCACAGGGTGTCACACTGTGCAGCCCTCTGCCGGCAGGTGTCCAGGGCCAGGCAGGAAAATCCTTTTTCTCTCTGGCTCTCTCTAGTTTCTTTTGTCGGTTGCGCTGGCTCCCCCCAGAAAAGATGGGGCATGTGTGTTTGGTGTAAAAAAAAAGGAAAAAAAAAAGCAGCTGCCCTAAACTCAGAACGGGCTCGTTCCACCAATTATCTCAAGCTACTCCCCCTCTCTCTGGACTCTGGAGCGTTTTCATAGTACATGGTCTTCCAGTCCCACAACGTAATGAAACTAAATATATATATGTATATATATATCGAAATCACCTATAACTTGCTATAAATTATAACACAACAAACAAAAATGCTCATGTTGTTGCATTCCCTGATTTTTTTTCTTTTTTAGTTAAAAAGTATTATTCTTGAAAAAAAGTTAAAAACAAATATGGGCGGGTACGGTGCCTCCGATGATCCCCACCCTCCTACCGAAAAAAAACAAACACCACTCACAAGCCAAAAAAAAAAAAAAAACTCCCCGGAGTCCCTGCTCCCCGTGATGGCCGTGTCGGGAAGCCGGTCAGGAAAATCGTACGGGGGGGTCCCGTTCATGAACGGAATCCGCCACTGAGCTATTTGCAGTATACGGGCTGACCCCAGGGGTGCAAAAATGTAGTAAAAGTCCGTTTGAGGGCCTGCCACACTTTTGGCCCGTTTTGGGGGCAAATAAATTTAGAGGTTTTATGGTGGGGGGATCTATAACATTTCCCTAAAATGTTAATACGGTGCTAGAAAGGTCACACCTCTATCCGAATGTTCTCCTCCCCTCACGGACACTCGAATGGATCAATCACTGACTAACAAGCGTTTCCGTTGGATGTGGCAATGGTGGCAGGTGCACCTGGATTCAGACGATGTACAAGCTCCACAAGCCTTGTGATATCCCGGCTCTCTTGCCTATCCTCCCCATGCACATCTGTTGCCCAACGGTAGAGATCTTCTAAGGCAGCGGCCACAGCGCTGCTTGTAGGCACTGATGCATGACACGGGACAACCTTGACGAGCACCTTGGCAATCAGGCTGTCAGCCTCTTCATGCAGGCGGTTCTGCCACTCATCAAGCCCCAGACACGTCGGCAGTGTGGGAAAGTGTCCACGTAATACAAAATGCTTGACCAGGGAAGGAAAAAGGATGCGGAGTAGATGATGTCAGACAAAATTGTGATCGTTCTGATGAGATTCGTGGGCACAGTGATGGATGACGTAAGAGGTTATGCGTGCTGCATACACCCTCGCTAGGAGGTTGTTTACTGCCCTCTCAAAGTGCGCCAGCTGGTGTTTTGGACTCTTGCCACCAATGGCAATAGCAAAGATGGCATGCTTGAACAAATTAAAATCCGGCCGCCAGGCGGGTTTTCCTACAGATTCAAGGATTTCGAATAGAAGGATATGAAAATACCCCATGCCTGTCAACTGATGGAGGAAGGAACTAAGTATGGTGTTCCGCTCCGCTGGGGAGGTTCCCAAGCCATGCGTACCTGGGCGAAACAATACTCCTTCCCTCTGCTCGGGTTGCAGCTCAACTTGCTGCTCAAGTATGGAATGCAAGCTGTTGAATAAGGTCACGAAAAATGCCTCATTGGCTCTCGGCTGTAACAGGATGTCAAATCCCTCATTTGATTTGATCAGCTCTGAGAATAGTCGTGCTGCAGCCGCCCCGCAACGATTGGTGTGGGTGCGAGCGTCATCGGCCCAGGGTTTCTCCCTCCTGTGCGGAACCCTCACCATATGACCCATGAATTGGTGATCTTCCTCGAAGAAGCGGACTGATTGACTGACACTCACCTCGGCATTGAGCATCAGTGTAAGGCAACTGACCCCACCTGCAGACTCCCAGATTTGCTGCTTGAGAGAGATCTGCTACGTTGATGTTGCAAACAGATCCCGCAGTGTCTCTATGGTCTCACAAGCAAACCAGTCGAGCACCCTGGAGCCTAAAGCTCGCCTCCAGTAGCACAGACACTGCAGCAGAATCTGCGCTACCTGTGCGTCTACATCCCTGATCCCCTGGGAGATGAAGATCTTAGCCAGGTGCAGGTTGTAGAACGATGCCGTGATCATTGAGTCAGAAGTAAATTCACTAAACCGATTCACCAGCAACTTCAGCTTTGCTCTCACGTCATCCGTATAGGCTGAGGGAAATCGTTCAACAGTTCGCCATCGAATCGATGCCACTTGATCATCCTTCGGGACCAAAGACAGGATAGAGTCCGGACACAGTCGGTCACTATGCTGCTTGACAGATTCGGCGATCTGATTGCAACGTCGAGCAGGATGTCCACCGTTTCCAGTCTACGTAGAGCAGAGTTCACGGCCTGCGCCCAGACAGTGTCCGCTCCATGGAAATCAGGGATTTCTGTCTCCAAAGACCACCCCAGTGGACAAAGTGTGGTGAAACTATTGCYCAGYTGCATTTTATAGTATATCTGCTGCTGGGTGCCTCTTCCTCCAGCTGCTTCGTCGCCCCCTGGAATGCAATGACTGACTTGCACCTCACCGCATTCCTGCCCCTGTGTCATGTCTGTCCTTGCCGTACCATCTCCTGCAGCCTGGCACGAAGGGCAAAGTCGACGGGTCTTGCGATCATGGTGATGAGCGTGTATGTCGCTTGCTGCATGAGCGAAGGACCATATCGCAGAGAGAGATGCGTCCCCAAGGTCGCGCGTACTGTCACACGGCTGTGAGTCTGAGACGCTCGTGGAGAACTGTTCTATCAAACTGTCGAGCATGTGGACCGTACAGTAGCGGAAGTCGTCTTCCTCCAGCATACGGAGTATGCGGTGCTGTGAATAGAAACCTTCTCCGATTCTTCCTGGAGATGGTTGCCAGGCAAGGATGGAGAGGCTTGAGGCGAAGCCGGCAAGGATGGAAGCAGCGATCTTGACGTACTCTGAATTCGGTGGGGAGCTCTTTATCAGTCGCAGCATTGCCAGATACCCTTGAGCGCGGGTAAAATCCCGACTTGCATCGACGTCAGTCTTGCAACGGCTGGGCTGAGGCAGGTCCTGGATGTGCTTCGCCATTTCGCCTGAGTCGAACGCATTGCATGCTTTCATCTTGTTCCGTCTCGAAAGGTCTTCCAACGACGCTAGCGCCATGTTCATCTTCTTTCTTGTCATAGTCCCCCATCTACGATCACGAGCGTCGTCGTACAGGTCCGACAAGTCCTCTAGCACCATATCTACCAGTGGAACCAGTAACCAGGGAGCCCGCAGTCCCCTATGTTCGAAAGGGCCTCCTCTGGTGGGAGAGAGTAATGCCGATTGCCAGGAATATACCAGGTCAGCCCACTCTCCCTCTCCAGTCGTTTCGTCTCGAAGGCTTCCCAGAACGGGAAGCGTTGGGTGTCGGCGAGCTCTGTGTCCCGGCACCGACTCTGTCTTAGAACGTTTACGATAGTCCTCATGCAGTAGTATCCTAGTCCAAAGTAGAGAAGTATGACTTTGAGGACACTGTGCATGAGGACACCAACGCACGTGACGGCAACGAACTCGTGAGCACGCCTCTTTGCCGAGTCCTTGTGGTAATCTGGATGTTTCCTCAGCTCAGGCATAGCGCGATAAAGATACACGCCCAGACTTAACTGGGCAATCAACACAAAATTACGGAGTACCGCAGTGATTAACATGTAGCCGAACGATGGGCTAGCGCTCCCGTCCGGGAAAGTGGAACTTCCAAGACGATAGGGCAGTCTATCGCCACTTGCGATATGAGCACAAGAACAGCCCTCAAAATATACCTTCTTTATAAACATCCTGAACTTCGATTCTACTTCCAGCAGCAGAAGCGCTACGCAGGTCCATACGATACGACCACTCATATCCGGGCCGAAGGATCCCACCGCTACGGTAATGATGGTCAGAACGAGAACCGCAGCTCCACACTCTAACTGTTTGACGGCTTGGTACACTTGCACCTGAGTTTTCAAGCTCTTAGATACCTTGAACGCCATCTCGCCAAGCTCCAGCGCGCACACTCCACTGAGCCCAGTCGTTCCTTCTACCCTCACCTTTCCCACTCTCCCCAGTCCCGCCTACGATCACCCAAACTCTCTCTCTCTCTCTCTCTCTCTCTCTCTCTCTCTCTCTCTCTCTCTCTCTCTCTCTCT